AAAAAAATAAGTAAAAAAAAAAACAAAAAAAATAAACAAAACCCCAAAATTTAGAGTTATTCTTGTTTTTTTTATAAAAAAATAGGTTTGTTTCAATTTTTATATTATATCTAATTCTAAAATTCAATTAATCAAAAAAATAATTTTTGTAAAAAAGCTAGAGATATCTATATATATCTCAATTTTGTTATTTATGTCTCTATAAATTAAAGTATTTTTTAACTTTAAGCAAAGATATCTTGGCAACTACCAAATTAAATTTAATATTTTTTTATTTGAATTCTACAAATATATAGAATTTAAATAAAAAAAGTTTGTTTATACCAAAATTTTTTTTAAACTTTGAGCAAAGATATCTTGATAACCACTAAATCAAATTTAATAATTTTTTTATTTGAATTTTATATATTTATAGAATTTAAATAAAAAAATTCATTGAATTTAACTTGATGATTGTTAAGATATCTTTTTTCAAAGTTTAAGCAAAATTTTGATATAATATTATTTTGATAGATATTTTAAATTTTTTTAAAATTTTGAGTGAATATATTTTAACAGCCACCAAACCAAATTTGTTAAATTTTTTATTTGAATTTTATATGTTTGTAGAATTAAATAAAAAAAGGTTCATTGAATTTGACTTGGTAGTGCTAAGATATTTTTGTTTAAAGTTTTAGAAAATTTAAAATATTTATTAAAATATAACTTTATCAAAAATTTTTTTAAATTTTAAATAAAGATATCTTAACAACTATAAAGTCAAATTTAATAAACTTTTTATTTGAATTCTACAAATATATAAAATTTAAATAAAAAGTTTATCAAATTTGACTTGATAGTTATTAAAATATCTTTGTTTAAAGTTTAAAAAAATTGATATAGCTTTATTTTGAGTTTTTTTAAAATTTTGAGTGAAGATATCTTGATAATCATCAAGTTAAATTTTGATAAACTTTTTTTATTTGAATTCTATATATTTGTAAAATTCAAATAAAAAAAGTTTATTAAATTTAACTTGGTAGTTGCCAAGATATCTTTATTTAAAATTAAAAAAAAATTAATTTTCAGGAGATACAAATAACAAAATTAGAAAGATATATATATTGGCTGCTTTTTAAAATACTTAAGGATAGAGGATACACAAATTACTTTTTATATATCAGCAAATTTATAATAGCGTAATCTTACATAAGATCTTACAAACTGTAATATAAACAAAATATTATGTAATATATTTCAAAATATTTTTAAATATCAAATTTTTGAAATATTTTGAAAGTAATTTTGAAATATTTTGAAATATATTATGAAATATTTTGAATCCTTTTAAAATATTTTAGGACTAGAAAACCAAGCTGAATCAGTAGATCTGTAATCTGAATTGTGCATAAGACTAATTTTTTGAAACAGTTTGAAACAGTTTGATGATATTCAAATTCTGTATTACAAGATCAATTTATTTTTTTGTTTTTATTTTGTTTTTTATTTTTGGTTTGTTTTTTGTTTTTATTTTATTTTTTCAATTTTTTTATTTATTTATTTTTTAATTTTTTTATTTTATTTTTATTTCAACATTTTACAAAATACCTTTGCAAGAAAACAAATAACATTTTGAAACCTTGCGCATACCAACTCAAACTTCTGATACTTTCAAAAACATACAACTGATTTTTTTAGTAATTTTTAAATTTCTAGAAATGCTTTTTTAGAAAAATAGACACAAGATTTTACAAGTTTTCACAAGTTTTTGCAAGTTTTTGCAAGTTCTTGCAAGATTTTACTTCATTTATTTTATGATTTTTGTTTTTGTTTTTTTTGTTTTATTTTTAAAAATTTTTTATTAATTTATTTTATTTTAATACTTTGCAAAAACAGAACTTTTACTTCTTGGCACTTTCAAGAAAATCAACTCAGATATTTTCAGAACTTTGTGACTTTTTTGGCATTTTGCAAGAACATTAATCGAGTTTTTGTAATTTTTGAATTTACAAGAATATAAACTCTTACTTTAGAGAAATGAAAATTTGGGGTTTTGTTTATTTTTTTTGTTTTTTTTTTTACTTATTTTTTTAATTTTTAATTTATTTATTTATTTCTGACTTTTTTGACATTTTGTGACTTTTTCTGGCAATTTGCAAGATAATTGTGCAAGTTTTTAAAAAAGTTCGAATAGATGCAAATATTATTAAGAAAATTTATAAACTTTCAATATATAGAATATTACCATTAGCTATTTCAGCGAATATTGGGCCAATTTTGATGATTTAACTACTATTATAACTAGAATAAGGTGCTAATCAATACTACTTATTGAAAGTTTTCAAATTTTCTTAATAAAAATCACACCTATTTACAATTTTTTAAAATCTTGTACGTAAATTGTAAATTTTATATAATATTATGGTTTTTAAAATTTGCTGATATTTATTTTTTTATTTTGTGTTTTTTGTTTTTGTTTTTTTTGTTTTATTTTTAAAATTTTTTTATTAATTTATTTTATTTTAGCACTTTACAAGAACAGAACTCTTACTTTCAAGCACTTTTAAGAAAACTAACTCAGACTATTTTAGCACTTTGCAACTTTTTTAGCATTTTGCAAGAAAATTAATCTAGCTTTTACAATTTCTGAATTTGCAAAAATGTAAACTCTTACTTTAGAGAAATAAAGAGGTGTGAATCTTATTAAAAAAATTTACAAACTTTCAATATATAAAATATTACAATTAGCTATCTTAGCAAATATTAGGCTAATTTTGATAATTTAACTATTATTATGACTAGAATAAGGTGCTGAACAATACTACTTATTGAAAGTTTTTTAAATTTTCTTAATAAAAATCGCACCTATTCACATTTTTTTTAAAATCTTGTACATATTACACATCAATCATAAATTTTACGTAATATTACAGTTTTTAAAATTTGCTGATATAGTCAAAATAATTTATTATATTTTGAAATTGCTTAATAATATTAAAAAAATTTAAAATATCTGAATTAGTGCAAATAGATTTGGATAAAGTTACAGAATGTAAAAAGAAACTAGAAGAAAATATTTTAAATCTATATTTTCTGGTTCTTTATTCTTGGGTGATGATAATGATTTAGAAAAAAATACAGATAATGAGAATGATACAGATAATGATGAGTAAAAGTTTTTTTGATTGTTTTTCTTATATATGAATAATACTGCTGTTTTTTTTTTTATTTTTTATATATTTCTTTTAACATAAGATTAGTTAGCTTTTTTTATATATAATATTTAAAATTTTTAAATAAAAAAAATAATATAGTTTAAGCTATAAAATTTATAGTATTTATTTATTTGAATAAATTGTTTTTTGGTTATTAATTTTAGTATAATTTGAAAAAATTTAAAAAAATAAAATAAATTGAAAAATATACTATATGAATATTTCAATTTATTAAGTATTTACAAAATTATATATAATTTAACAAATATGTTTTATATTACTTGAATTTTGTTACTATATAATTTTAATTTTGTCACTATATAAAATCACTGTCTCTGCTTTTAAGTAAACTTGCCAATTTTGATTTTTTTAAACTTTTTACTAAGTAAAAAATTAAAGTTATACAAAAAATTTTTATATAACTTTAATTAAAACCAAAATTGGTAAGACATAAAGTATGTAAAATTATGTGCTAAACAAATTTACTTAAGAGGTCGAAACAGATTGTTCTACATAACAAAAAAAGTTTTACATAGATAAACTAAAAATTTTAATGTTTGTATATAACAAACCTTTAAATAACCCTGTTCACCTTCTAAGTAAACTCATTCAGCATAAAATTTTACATGTAATCATGATTTTACAATTAAAAAATTTTTTTTTCATATAGTTTCATAAGGAAATATGCAATTTTTACAGAGTTTTAAAAAAGTGTTCTAAATAATCTTAATCGATAGGTTTAATTTCAAAATTTGAAAATAAGTTAATGTGGGGCTTAAAATTTATAGTAATTTATATGTTTTTATTATAGTTTTTCTATAAACTAACACTTATATTTCAACTATTCCCTGACAGAGACGGTGAATACTTCCATTAAGAATAAAACGGAATAAAATGAATAAAATGATAAATTATAGCCAATCAAATTTTGCTATTAATCGCGTAATAATCTTCGGAAATTGAAAATTATTTTGAAAATTAAATTTTGGTTGGCTAAAAGGTTTTTTTTTTTGGTGATATCGGAATAAAATGGAATAAAATGGAATAATTGATGTTAGTATGATAAAAATTTCCAATTTGATAGCGGAAGTATTGTTCCCTGACTGGTATAAAAAAAGCACATCGCAGGGTTGGGATGCCTAATTAAGTCCTTTAATACTGTATATATTTGTTAACTATATATTTATTGAATACTTATTCTGGCTTTTAATAAAATATTTGTTAATATCTATATATTTATTAAATACTTATTCTAACTTTATATGGAATTAATTTTTTTGTTTTATAAAAATTAAATTACAATTTGTACACATAAATTAATAGTGCATAAACACTGGTAAACTAATAAATTTTTAAAAACCATTTAATCAAATTCTAAAAAATTTTTTTTTAAAAAATTAGGGACTAATAATGATACTAATAATGATACTATATAGTCAATTAAATAAAATTTTTAACCGGCCAGGATTACAACATCAAAATTTTAGATAACCTCCTTACATACCCCTAATCCCTATAAAAAATTTTTATCCGAATATTTCCATTATTTCTCCGTGGCCTCCGTAAAAATTCCATGAAAATGATACATTTACGGATATCCGTGTTAGGGAGATGAAACTTTCCATGATTTAAGGTTATAAATTCCATGAAAATGAAACATTCATGGACAAAACATGGAATAATACACACGGATCAACATTTTTTATAGGGAATATAAAATACCAATGAACATTTTTATTTATAATATAGATAGAAACAAATTACAATTTGCCAAAAGATTCATGTTTGCGAACATTGGAAATATATTCTGGAGTAGTTTTACAGCAACCTCCAATAATAATCTTAAATCTAGATCGTTTAGCCCATAGTAATGCGCAATCTCCGAATTCTAAATAATTGTTTATAAAGAAATTGAATCAAAAAAATTTTTTGAATTGTGATAATATTATACATATTGTTTGAATAGATCAACTAATATATAATAGTTTTAGGATTTTTCCGGAAAGTATAAATGAGATTACCGTATAAATACGAAATAATTGACCTGCGCGCTATTTCGACAAAAAGGTTGATTTCCAAATCCGAATCTAATATACTAATAACTTATATAATTATCATCGTATAAACAGATTTAGAACTACTCCAGAATTAGGCTTGGTACTAAGTAAACCTATCTTCGAGCTCGATAGGTTTATTAGTACTTCGAGCTCAATAGGTTTATTAGTACTTCGAGCTCAATAGGTTTATTAGTACCAAACCTAGTTCCGGAACACCTTTTTTTGTTCTGTTTAAGAAGATGCTTATTTAGGAGGGGATGCGCGTTAATTTGAGGCGACTATGGGCGCTAATTCGGAACTACTTATGCTATTTTTGAAAAACCCAATTTTCAAAATAGTGCCCACGGCGTTATTTCGTCTTTATACGGTATCTCTTTTTAGCGGCGTTTTAATATAAAAATTATTATATTTACCTTCTGCAGAAAGCCCTGTACACGAATCCCAATCCCTTTTAATCTCATCCCATTCACATCCAGCGTCTGGATAGCAAACAACAAATTTATCTTTAGCTCCAAGAAGATCCATTTCGTTGCGAATCAAATTTACCAAATTTTCAGCATACTTAGGTTTAGTGCAATTTATACCAATGGCAACAATTGAATCTACGGTACAACAAAGTTTGATGCTTTCTATTAAAGTTTCATCATGACCATTTAATGAATCATTTTTACAAGAAAATGAGACCCAACAAGGAACGGAGATTTTTTCTTCTTGTAATACAGAACAAATGGCATCAACTTCTTGGAATGATGGAATTGTTTCGAATGCTATTAAATCAATATCTGTAAATTTTGGATAAAATATTTGCATCCTTTCTCTATGAAAAGCTTTTAGATAGGAAGTGGTTACGTCAGGACCAAAGTTTCCAGAATATTCCGAACCATCACATAGGGTTGCACCAAATGAACCAAGCGAGAGTGCAATTAAAGGTTTGATCCTGGTTATATCATTGAATTGATGTAATTGTTTTTGATATTCAGTCCAAAATTGTTCACGAGCTTCAATGGCTAACGAAACAGATTTTTGCATTAATGATACCGCTTGATCATTTGAAAATCCGCATTGTATAAAACCTGATATAGTTGCTTGATAACTAAATTTTCAGAAATAAAGGAATATTTATAAGAATTAAAATTCACTCTAAATGTATTTGCACTCACTAAGTGTGACTAAGTGTATATTTTATATTTGGAAAAAGTTGACTGTATATTGTTTTAATTTATACGCGCAAAGAAGCAAACCTGCATGTTGTAATGATATCCGCGCCTGCTCTAAGATAAGATAAATGAACATCTCGTATTGCTTGTGGGTCTTGGGATAAATAAGCAGCAGACCATAACTTTGATGAAAGATCTTTACAATGAACTCTTTGTAGCTCTGTAGCAAAACCACCATCTAAGATCAAAGGTGAATTCATTTTTAGAAATGATTGAACGTTCATTTTTGCTATATCGTCAAAATGCTCAACAATCCAGTAATGAACTTGATAATTCGAGTGTAAGGGAAAGCAATTTAAGGATCGAATTTATAATGATATGTGTTAGTAGCTTATTAGTAAATTATGGATGCAAACGAACGATTAAATTTGTATAGTGAAGTATTAGAGAAGTCATACATGCTACAAAATTATGAGAACCTGTTATCAATATCTGATATGTGAAAAATGCGCTACTTATAATCGTAATATCTCATTGATTTTTTATATTTCAAAGTAATGTTATTAATTAATGCTTTTATGCAATAATCCAACGGAAGACCACGTAGAGTAAAAGATGTCGCACAACCTTAAGGGTAAGAGGTCAGTATCGATTCATATAAAATAGGTACTGTACGTACGTACTGGGGTGGTAAATCAACTAAGTAAATCAAAACTATATTAGCAATATTAGTGATTTTACTA